CAAAAAACTGGAGTAGAAAGAATAAAATGAATCTGACCTAAACAAGACTGAAATCCAGCAGGAAAATATATGAAGTTCTGTACTCCCATATGTAGCATCTGGGGCACATGTTGGTGAGATATGAGCTCTGTAGGATTTAGGCAATACTGCTTCTATAGCCCTGCAATTTGCTGCCCACATAGCCTCTCTCTTCAGCTGGGCTTCCAGATTTCTTGTAGGACTTTCTGTGTCCCTGGCATGTCCTGCTATCTGGCATCTCCACCACATTTCCAGCTGTCACAGCTTTACACATCACTCACTATGGTGTACATGGCCTGGTTCACACAGGATAACTTTAGTAATGTGAGCAGAAGCCTCAGTGATCTCATTTTTGTAAGAGCTCAGTTTCAGGCCAAGCTGCCAATTTTTTTTTTGCATCTTTCAGTTCTGGCATGTACTCACATTACTCACTGTCTATTTTGTTAAAAGTGGCTGGCATTGCCCACACTACAGCTTGAGTATCAGGTTGTTTTGAAATTAATCTCTGCCTGATAAATTAGCCTACCACCTTTACATTTAACCTCACATAAAATTTAGAGCATGGAGAGAACCAAGAGAAATTCATTGCCAGAAAGAAACATGGATGCCCTCAAGTCCAGCTTCCAGAAGAACCATGTTCCCAACTGAAGGCTCACAAGCATGGTCTTTACTCTCTGTATTCTAACCAGCATTCTGGTCTTGTGAACTCTGACCAGTATTGTCCATCAAGCCTTGCTCACAACATTCTTCAGTTTCTTAGGCATTCTTCATTTTCTCTGGCAAACCAATCGCCATGATTCTGAACATGTGGTAAAGTACAGTAACCCTAATGCACCCACTCCTAGTACATTTGTCTGTATAAGTTGGCAACCCCATCCCTAAAAAAATGCTCAAAACCCACAAGTTAAAGGAGGAGACGGTTAATGTGGCTTATGGTTTTAGATTTCACTTATGGTCAGTTGGTTCCAAGACACAGACTACATGATAGAAGAAAGTTGTTCACCCCATGCATCCAGGAAGCAGAGAGGGGAGCAGCCAGGAACAAGAATATACCATTCAAGATCACATTCCCAGTGACCTATCCATCTGGACCAAGCCCCACATATGAGCACATGAGCAATTTGAAAACATTTAAATCTAAAACATAATATAAGTTTTCTGGTTATATTATCATTGCTCGTAAAAGTTGATTGATGGACTCAAGTACCTCAGAAGAGATTGGGGAGATATACAGATATATATTTCATTGGAAGAATGGGGCCCTCAGAAGAAGCCAGTTGAATGAAGGAAGGACTAAAGAATAATCTCACTAATTGTGAGAAATTTCCACCACTGGATTTTTCAAGAAATTAAATCCTCATTTTTCCTTTGTTAGATACATGCCTTATTTGCCAGGTACATAAACAATATGGTAAATCTTAAAAGCAAATCTTTTTATTGCTTCACCTTAATTTACTGAAACTACTTTTTGAGTTGCTAAAATTTTATTTACTTGTACCTGAAAATAATGGATTTGGCCAGCTTAATTTCTAATTAGGTTGATTTTTTTTCCATAGTTGTACAAACATGGTGTTAGAGTTTAGATCAAGATGACTCCCAAAGCCTCACTATTAAGAAGTGGGGCTTTTGGAATGGGATGAGATCAGGAGTGAACTAAATTCATCAGTAGAATTCAGAGCTAAATGTGCTTTTAGGAGGTGGGGCCTGGTTGACAGGGCTGGGGCACTGAGGTGTGGGCTGGAAGGGTACATCTCCTGCACTGACCCCTCCCTTTGCTATGATTTCCTTGATGCCATGAAGAGATCAGCTTTCTCTGCTAAGGCTCTTCAGAAATCCCATTTCTGCCTTTCACTTCATCACTCAATATGAAAATTGAGTGCAAATTTGAAAATCAATTACATATCCAAAAATGTAAGACATAGTTATGTGAATTATGGTACAATCAAATACTTGATATGATTCAGCAAATCATAGGTTTATGTTTGGAAAGAGTTTAATGATATAATCAGTCTCCATGAAATAATTATAAGGATAAAAATAATGATACAGAGTTATTCATATAGCATGACTTATCAATGAAGAACATTTATTTTCTCATGACTTCCATAATTCTAGATGCTTCATGGGAAACAAGAACAAGAACTTTTGTTGCCCATGTTTTCTACCATATTAGACATAGATAATATTTTACTTTAAGGCTGAAACAGAATTTTTTTTTCTTAAATTCTTTTATTGGTACATTTTAGGTATACAATACATTTACATTTATCATTGGGTGTTTGTACCTGTACATGACGTATCTTGATTTTCATGTTTTCCCCATTACCTGTGGGCCCTTCACCCCCTCCACCATTCTCTATTTACATAGACATCATTTCCATTTTTTTTTCTTTTCTCATAATTTTTCCTTTCTCTTCTTTCCTTTCCCCTTCCACTCCCTTCACCCTTGTCTTTGGCCATTTTTTCCTATTCAAATTATCAATTATTCATTTTAATCATTTTAACCCTTATTACACTATCAGTTTCTCACACTATGGAAACTATTCGGTATTTACACGTGTGTTCTATTTATTTCACTTAAGAGTATGGCCTTGATATGCATCCATTTAGCTATAAATGACTAGTTTTTCATTCTTTATGGCTGAGTAGGACTCCATTTTATAAAAATAAACCACATCTTCTTTATCCAGTTTCCAGTAGATGGGCACTTGGGCTGCATCCAAGCTTTAACTATTACAAACTGTACCGCTATAAACATGGGTGCACATATACCACTGTGGTATGATCCTTTTAATTCTTTTGGGAAGATACCCAGCAAGAGAATAGCCAGGTCAAATGGGACCTCTAGTGGTAGTTCTTTGAGGTATCTCCATATTGATTTTCACAGTGGTTACACCAGCCTGCACTCCCACCAGCAATGGAGAAGAGATCC